TACATTTTCATTTATTGTCATTTCCATTCAGTCAGTCATTAAGTGCTATTAAAATGTTAATGTGCTACATATCCACACGAACATACAAAGTGTGCAATCCAATGAATGTTAATCGAACTGGGTTTTGATAGATAACATATCTCTTTTTCTTCTCTCAATTATTTTATTTCTATTGTGTACTCTAATCAATATTAATCAAACTATTGTTCGTTTATACATTATAAGAATGGCGTTTATCTTTTTTGAGAAAGAGTTCTTATTTTATTTTATGTATTGGGGTCTACAACAGATGATACAAATGTTTGTGTCAGTAAAGGCGTGGTGGGGGTGTTTTTGAAAACAACGGGGACAGAGTGGGACAGAGCTGCTGTCAGACGAACAGCTGTGCGGCGTCATCACAAACGGACGTCGCTTCACGTGACGCTCCGGAGGAAAGGACGTCCCATTGCTCTTAAAACTAATTTCCCTGCTTCTCGTGGTTTCCTTGCGTCCCTCCATGCTTCCCTGGTGGGAGGGACAAGACGCACTGAAACGACATAAGTGAGGGAAGCAAGGATTTAATTTAACAGACCTGAGACGGGGCCCCTGTGTTTTCCTCCCTGTCATTAGTTTCCCTGGTGTGTCTAATTGTCTGATTGTGTTCACCTGTTTCCCTTCTGTGTCTCCTGTGCTCATCAGCGTCAGCCCCACCCCTGATTGTCCCCACCTTTGTCTTGTTATCCTGTGTTTAAATTCCCATGTCTCACAGTGTTCAGTGTCAGTTCGTCTTGTCTCTTGCCATGGTCAGGTCTCTGCTCTTTTGTGCTCAAGAAAAGTTTTGTTCCTCACCACGTGAACGATTTTCGTTTTGTTCTAAATTTTTTGTCATCTCAATCTGAGATTAGTTAGTGACCATTTTTTGTTCATCGTGTTTTGGAAAAATAAAGTATCTTACCAATACTTTACCTCTGTGTCCCGGGTCGTGCAATTGGGTCCTATACCTCCTAAGTGTCTGAGTTTGTAACAATAAGATGTATGTAGATAGTATAATAAATGTGCAGAATATGACAGTTTAATGGTGGAGGTTTACACACATATTGATAGATGTCTTGTAATGCACTGTTGAGGAACCTGCGACCCAAATTTGTCATTCATTGCATAACTAGTTGTGTATATGATATGTCAATAAACCTTAGAAAATCTTGAAATCTTGAAAAGGATGTGCAAAAAAGTCATTATATACAGTCTTTAATGAACTATTTGTAGAGAATAACGACTAATGAATATACTTTATAGTGATCCTATTAATATCTAATAATACAAATAATAAAATTCAATAACGATGTTTTTTCACACGTTTTATCAAAACGTCTGAAAAAAGAAATGTCTCTCATAATCTAAGGGAAAAACACAAAAGCATTGTACACAATTTAAACCAATTAATGTCATGTAAGGATAAACTGATGTTTTTGCTGGATGAGTACTGCAGATATAGCTTTAAAATAATTTGACAGTGGGGGGAATATGGTTTTATTATGAAAACTTCGAGACCGGAAATACTGTTTTCACGCCTTGGTGTTGACGCTAACTTTACATGGACGCTGCCGCATATACACGTTCTCCTGGCGAGACCTCAAATCATCTTTGTAATATCTATAAAATTATAGATCCTACACATCCACGGGACGTGGATTCTCTAAGTACAATATACACTTCTTGCTAGAAATCGAATCAAAAAGCATTTTATTAGCCAAACTATCCTACAATTTGGGAGGGTTATTTCTGAATATACGACCCTCCGTAGCGTTTCCATTCAACGGGAGCACTAGAGGTCGAACATTTAAAAACGTGATTATAGGTCGTAATAAGCGCTTGAATTTGGTCGTATGAGTTGGAGGACTTGGTGGTTCTTAGGCCTGCACACAGAGGTAGAAGCTCCAGGTCACTGAACGGCCTGTCCTTCATCGTCTGGATCCATGTCTGAAGGTCAAACTCCATCTTGAGAGGGTATTTCCTGAGATTGCCCACTTGATTGCAGTGGCATAACAAGGTTGTGATTGGCCCCGGTGCAAATATTGTTTGCCCCCCCCCCCCATCGCCCCAAACATAAGCGAACGCTGATGAACTCACACACGCACGGACATACACTCTCTCTTGTCCTTTCTCTTTTGAGTGCCACTCTTGCGCTTTGGTTTGCTGTACATTATAAATGCAAGCTATTACATTTTTTATAATGCTGCCGAACTTGCTGCTGCTAGCTACAGTATAGTATGGGTTGATTCAACGGTTCGCTCGTCACGCAAGGTATCACATGACATGAAAGGGAGCAAGGTCATTGGACATATAAATACAAATTACTTTAGGTTGCTTGGTTACTTTGAAGATTGGCCGGCTCTGGGCCCCGGTGCGTTGCATCGGCTGCACCGTCGATAGTTACGCCACTGCTTGATTGGCAGAGACACATCAAAATGATGCCTCTCCGGCGGTCCTGTTGGCAGCAGCCTTCACCACTGGACCTGCTGTGGAAGGGATCGGTACTAACTCTCTGTGATGACACGTAAATACTGGAAGCTTCAGGTTTAGCCATTTTTCTGCCTGTTGTACTGTTCATTCAGCTGGTGTAGCTACTCCTAGCTGGTGTGTCTACTTTGTGCATAAAAAGGCTGTGATTGACAGCAAAGACCTGGAAAAGCTGAGCAGGTTCAGAAAGAGACTAAATACTATATTTAGACAGGCAGTATAAAGAGTTCTATTTAACACTGCAGTAAGGGTGTATACTATGTGACCTTTAAATAACAATCAAGGGGAAATTAGAGATTCTCTAATCCTAAATAAGTATAACTAATTTATTCTCAGTTTCCTTCAATTAATTTGCTTTAAATGTAAAAAAAAGAAACCAATCCTCACAAAACACTGGTCCCCTTCTAAATGCTCGGCAGACAGCATGCCAATAACAGGAGCAGACAGACAGACAGACAAAGTCAGGTATATGTAAACAGGAAGTATTTCAGTGCACTTGTGGTTTATTTGACGGGATGTATACAGTCTATGGATGTATCCCATGATCCATAAACATTGCAGAGGTAATACGATACTGGCAAAGCTGATACTTGTAAAGTAGATATCTTTATATAAATATAATGTATAATGTTGTTTATCATTTCAATGTAATGTATAATGTCAGCTTGATACAATGAATTTTAATCTAATATTAGAGGCTTTTATTTCGAAGGAGTTGACCGGAAGCGCTGAGTCATGGCGGCTAACCTGACAGAGTGGGAGAGGCAGCGCGGAGCGGGCAGAGCGGCAGACTGGCGCTGCGGCTGAACCCTGAGCACCGGACAGCCGGAGCGGAGCTGCTGCTGTGGATTTGGAACGGAGAAGCCAGTGTTTACCTTTTAAATCCGGGGGCTTTTCCTCCCCGTGATATCACTGCCCTGGGCGGGAAGCCAGAGGAAAGGAACACTTTAATTAAATCAGCAGGAATTATTTCCTCTCCAACAAAGAGCGTTCAAGGAAGTAGCCTGCTGCCGTAAATTAGTGAAGCAGGATAAAAGTACTGGATCTATATCCCGCCATGGCTCACCACAGACTCCTCCGCGGGGGTTTGACTTTACAGTTTTTTGTTCTGTTCGTGAATGTGGGGATTTTTCGAGTGAATGGGCAATACGGCGGAGACCGTGGAATGTCTATACCAGAGCACGGGTTCTGCCAGCCGATCTCCATTCCGCTGTGCACGGACATCGCGTACAACGAGACCATCATGCCCAACCTGCTCGGGCACACCAACCAGGAGGACGCGGGGCTGGAGGTGCACCAGTTTTACCCGCTGGTTAAAGTCCAGTGCTCCCCGGATTTAAAGTTCTTCCTCTGCTCCATGTACGCGCCCGTGTGCACGGTGCTGGAGCAGGCGCTGCCCCCGTGCCGCTCTCTGTGCGAGCGCGCGCGGCAGGGCTGTGAGGCGCTCATGAACAAGTTCGGCTTCCAGTGGCCCGACAGCCTCGCGTGCGAGACCTTCCCGGTGCACGGCGCGGGAGAGCTGTGCGTCGGGCAGAACATGTCCGACCGCACGGAGGGAGACAGCCCCGGACCTGAGGTGTTCCCCACCCCGCGCCCGGTCCCTGAACACCCCATGCATGGGCAGTTCAGGTGCCCGGCCTCGCTTCGGGTGCCCCCCTACCTGAACTACCGCTTCCTCGGGCAGGAGAACTGCGGCGCTCCCTGTGAGCCCAAGAGGTCTCACGGGATGATGTACTTCAACGAGGAGGAGCTGAAGTTCGCCAGGATCTGGATCGGGATCTGGTCCGTGCTGTGCTGTGCCTCCACCATGTTCACTGTGCTGACCTACCTGGTGGACATGAAGCGCTTCAGCTACCCGGAGCGGCCCATTGTCTTCCTGTCGGGCTGCTACACCATGGTGTCCATCGCCTACATCGCTGGGTTCCTACTGGAGGACAAGGTGGTGTGCAACGACAGGTTCGACAACGACATAAGGACTGTGGTGCAGGGCACGAAGAAGGAGGGCTGCACCATCCTCTTCATGATGCTCTACTTCTTCAGCATGGCCAGCTCCATCTGGTGGGTCATTCTGGCTCTTACCTGGTTCCTGGCAGCTGGGATGAAGTGGGGCCACGAGGCCATCGAGGCTAACTCCCAGTACTTCCACCTGGCGGCCTGGGCCGTCCCCGCCGTCAAGACCATCACCATCCTGGCTGTGGGGCAGGTGGATGGAGACGTGCTGAGCGGGGTCTGCTTCGTGGGGGTCAACAGCGTGGACGCCCTGCGAGGCTTTGTCCTGGCTCCGCTGTTCGTCTACCTGTTCATCGGAACATCCTTCCTCTTGGCGGGCTTTGTGTCGCTGTTTCGCATCCGGACCATCATGAAGCACGACGGCACCAAGACAGAGAAGCTGGAGAAGCTGATGGTGCGGATAGGGATCTTCAGCGTGCTGTACACGGTGCCGGCCACCATCGTCATCGCCTGCTACTTCTACGAGCAGGCCTTCAGGGAGCAGTGGGAGAGGACCTGGGTCAGCCAGACCTGTAAGACCTACGCTGTGCCCTGTCCCGTCCAGAACCACCCCAACATGAGTCCAGACTTCACCGTCTTCATGATAAAGTACCTCATGACGCTCATTGTGGGCATCACATCCGGCTTCTGGATCTGGTCTGGGAAAACCCTGAACTCCTGGAGGAGGTTTTACACGAGACTGGCCAACAGTAAACAGGGGGAGACCACAGTGTGAGGGGGGGGGGCACACAGACTGCTGACAGACTGAATGATAGTCCACCTCTTCTCTTGATTTTTTCTTGGACTTAAAGACAATTCTTTCTTTTTTTTATGTACATATACGTTTGTGAGATTTTTGTAAGTATATATTTGTATTTAAAGATTTTAAAATGTTTTTTAAAAACTCCTTTTTTCCTACTTCGGACATAATGGAATTGTACTTAATAGTCACAAAGAACCAGCTGACCTTCAATGGTCCGGGGTCCCATGACCTGACTTACTGTGGACCCCAGTGGAGTATCTCATCGTGTGTTTAATCAGTGGGCTGCCTGCAAGCGCCGGCTCTATTCTGAGCGAGTCCCGTGAAACCAGAGTGCTTCCTCGTGGCTCCTCATCACCCAGCTGGAGTGTGTGTGTGTACAGTGAGCAGCAGTTGTCTGGGTCTGGTGCACAAGTTGTGAATGTGAGCTATTGTGACAGATGCTGGTGGTCTGTATCCCCCGATAGTTCTATCATTCCTTTCCAAATAAAGCACACACAATCACACCAGGTTCACACACCATGCTAGTGTTTTTGCATGTTTCAGTTCTGAGTTTACACATATAACCTCAGGCAAACTGCATTGTGTTTGTCCTGTTTTACTACCTTTTTTTTAGCTACAATTCATGAATAATCACAAGTCATTTTAAAATGGCTTGGTATTCCTGCACAGTGACCACCATCACTGCTCATGCAGGTGTATTATTGCTGCATAATACAGGTGTATGTAAAGATACCTGGCAATATCATGCAACAATTTCACAAGTTTAACTGAAATGAAAGCAGATAAGATGTTCACTGATGTGTTAACTCACAAGTTTGAAGACCCTGGTAAGAATTAAAACATGTAAACAACACAGTTTTTAGCATGGTGTGAAATGGCCAGCTGAGTTACAATTGTAAGTTATTGCAAAGGTCTAAAACATGCAAAAATACTGGGGGGTGTTTCTTTAAAAAAGTGATTTCAAACTGCATTTATATGGACTGAATGGCTGTTCACTGAACTTTAAATCTGCCTGTAATGGTCATTTGAGAGGTTAAGATTCACTGCTGAGAAACAGAATCTAACAGCAGACTGTGTGTGTGTGTGTGTGTGTGTGTGTGTGTGTGTGTGTGTGTTCATCACATTCTATATCAAAATCATGTTTCTGCACATAGTTC